TGCTACTGCTACTGCTACTGTACTCCTACTCCTACTCCTACTACTACTACTACGACGACCACAACAACAACCACTGCTGCTGCTACTACTACTACTACTACGACGACTACTACTACTACCACTACTACTACTACTTCTTCTACCACTACTGCTACAACCACTTCTATACTACTTCATTACCCCTACTACTTTCCGTACTGGGTTTGTTCTATGAGCTGTAGTTTGGCTACAATTCCTAGGGGTTGGTATCACATGTTTCAAACGCACTGGGACACGGCGAGCATGTTGGAACTCAAGGCTCAGGAATACTCCTACTCTAAACCCTCAACCCCTAGACCCCAAGGCTTGAAACCTTCAAGCCCGAACGCCCCGCATCCTACGGTTGATGGACAAAATCCTGCATGACCTTATATACCGAAACTATGGGATTTATGGTACTATACTATATTTGGGTCATGCAGAATTTTGTCCATCAACACTAGCACCCCCTACTCACAACTGACCCCGCCTCAAATCGCGGCGCATGAGATGATGCTCATGGCGCAGCCTGCGTCCGAATTTGAAGAGGATGCCAGGCTGAGGGATCCTAAACAGCAAACCCGGGTTTGGGTTTTTTTAAAGTTTAGGGTTTAGGGTTTAGGGTTTAGGGTTTAGGGTTTGTAGTGTTAGGATTTAGGGTTTAGGGTTTTCAGGGGTAGGATTTAGGGTGTAGAGTTTGCAGGGTTAGGATTTGGGGTTGAGGGTTGAGGGTTCACCCCAAACCTAATCAAGCGTAAACCCGAAGCCGACCCACACGGCGTCTGAGGAACTAGTCATCTTATGGGTCGTTCTATAAGTTAGGGTCCTTGTTAGGGTTCCTTAACGATATCTAGAGAGTTTCTATACGGGTACTATGAGGCCTTTTACAATCTACGTCCCCATCTTCGATATGTGTCCGAGTCTTATGGCCTGTGGAGTAGCACTAGACATCGCACAGGGACAAGCAAGTTGGAATCCTGAATCATTCTGCAGCCGGCACCTGTGTGTGTATGTTGAAACAACGGAAAGAATGAAGGAACGAATGAACGAAGGAATCACTGAACAATGAAAGACTGAATCAAATAATGAACGAATGCATGAATGAAGGAATCAAAACATGAGCAAATTCAAGAACGCGTGAACGAACGAGCGAACGAACGAACGAACGCATAAGTATATAAATGAATGAACCAGCGAATCAATGGTGTATATAGCTGTACAAGACACCCATATATATATATACACACATATATATATATAAATGTACACACATATGTTTCCGTTGAGAGCTTAGCGTGCTGAAGGGCAAGGGGCTTGAAGTTTAGGTTTTAAGGGTCGAGGTTGGTTGGCTGCCGGGTATGGGGCTTGAAGGCTTCGGAGCGTTAGGGCTTTGGGCCGCAAACCCCAACAGGTCCACTCAGTAGCCTCGGCAGGAAGTCCAACGGTAACTCACTACACAAAACGAAAATCAACAGCTGACCCAAACTCTAAACTCAAAACCCTAGGCATGAAATCCCGATCTCCCCGAGGCCTAGAAGCCCAAGCCCAAATCCCAAAAAACCCAAGAACCGCTTAAGGTCTAAATTCACCCGGGTTCGAGAAAGCCACCCCAAAGCTACTTATGTAACATATGCATAAAACACACACACATGCATACCCACATACATACATATATACATACTTAAACACATACATACATGCATACATACATACATGCGTACATACATACATACATACATACATACATACATACATACATACATACATACATACATACATATGTACATAGGTACATACATGCATGCATACATACATGCATATATATATATACATATGTATGTGTATGTGTATGTATGTATGTATGTATGTATGTAAGTAAGTAAGTAAGTCAGTATGTATG